CTATCCCATAGTTGGTTAGTGATCACTTCTCCATTTATAAATGATATGATATTGTGTATTTGATTATGTAAAAGAAATTCATTATGATAAAAATTAAATCATTTTATTTAAACAAATTAGTTTTAGATATGGTATGTTACTCTAAAACATTTATAGCATAAATATGGATTAATAGAATACTTAATATCAAATATTTGGCAATTATGTCAACTACTGAAATTAAAATTAAATTAAAAACAAATTTATTCTCAGTACTTTATTTAAAGTGTTACCTTAAGCATGATATAGACGATGCTACATGCATGCATACAAAGAATGCGCTTTGCTATACACTTTATATACTGTCTACAGTGTGTAGACCGAAATTTGGCTTTCATACTTGAATAACCAGTGCGATTTGGTAGCACGGAATACTTGGTTTGCATTCATGTAGTATCGTCTATATCATACTTTAAATATTTGTGAGTATTAGTATTATTCAATTAAGGTAACATAACTGCATATAAAATTAATTTAGCGCTAATAAGAAATTGCTGTACTTTGACAAATTATGTTACAAAATATTATGAAAAAATGTTTCATTTTGATCTTTTTAAAAATGTTCATTGCAAAATTCACAATTTCTATCACATTCATATTATTTCATGTATTTATTGTGATATATATGAAATTTATTGTAATACAAGCTTCTGGTCGCAAGCACAATTGCATAGTATTCTAGAAATTTACTTTTTCGATAAATTTTATATATAAATCCAACTTTGGTAACTGATTGAACGTACTCAATGCGAAATTTAACGAACACAACGAAAAACAGAACTGTCATGAGGACGAGTGTAGTTTTTTTGGCCAGAAGCAAAAAATTTTTCACCAACGCTAATTTATATATTTTGCATAAATAAAAAGAGATTAGTAGTGAAATTATATGAAAATAAAACGAACGAAATGTATTTTTTAATGTAAAAATGATTTAAATTTTAAAAGATTTAAATAATTCGATATAAAAGTGCAATATTCAGTAAACCAGCGGGGTTGGTGAGAGGTAAAAACATCAATAAAGAAGGGAGGAAAAATTCCATTAAACTCACAATAGTAAAAAATCTACAAAGTCCACTTGCAAATTGTAAGTAAAACTAGTTTTTATTACTATCTTGATTTTTTTTTTGAAATAGTATTTTAACTATGCTATTCATATAATATATATAAAATGGAAAGTATTTTTATAATGAATTGATAATAAAATATTCTGCGTAGATACACCTTCCCCCGCCTGCTGTATTGAATTTCCAGCACAACAGCAAATTATGTCTTCGAATAACCAATCGAGTTCAAGTCAAGGAGTTAATCCAACTACAGCCGCTGGGTCAACAAGTGCTGGACAACGGACAGTGCCACAAGATGTGCCATCATCATCTCAAGAAAGTCCTACACGTGTCGTTAAGACACCCGCTGTTAATACCAAAGAGCGAGTTATTGACAGTGTGCCATTTCCACCATCACATAAACTTACAATGGCTGAAGTATTTGATGCGCGCACAGGTAAACCTAATCATGATATATTAAAGCAACATTTTGTGCTCGAAGGTAGAATTGAAGAAGCACCTGCTCTACGAATAATACAAGAAGGTGCTGCACTTTTGCGCCAAGAAAAAACTATGATTGATATAGAGGCACCAGTAACTGTGTGTGGTGACATACATGGACAGTTTTATGATTTAATGAAATTGTTTGAAGTTGGTGGCTCACCAGCCAGTACTAAATATCTATTCTTGGGTGATTATGTTGACCGAGGCTACTTTAGCATTGAATGTGTTTTATATTTGTGGTCACTTAAAATAACTTATCCCACAACGTTGTTTTTACTACGAGGCAATCATGAATGTCGCCATTTAACCGAATACTTCACATTTAAGCAGGAATGCAAAATCAAATATTCGGAGCGTGTGTACGATGCTTGCATGGAAGCATTTGATTGTCTGCCGCTGGCGGCTTTAATGAATCAACAATTTTTGTGCGTGCATGGTGGACTGTCACCAGAGATACATGAATTAGAAGATATAAGACGTTTAGATCGTTTTAAAGAACCACCTGCTTTCGGGCCTATGTGTGATCTTCTATGGTCTGATCCTTTAGAAGATTTTGGAAATGAAAAAAATTCAGATTTCTATACACATAATTCAGTACGTGGTTGCTCATACTTTTATAGTTATGCAGCCTGTTGCGACTTCCTGCAAAATAATAATCTATTATCAATCATACGAGCACATGAGGCGCAGGACGCTGGCTATCGTATGTACCGAAAGAGTCAAACCACCGGTTTCCCTTCACTTATTACCATATTCTCAGCACCAAATTATCTCGATGTGTACAACAACAAGGCGGCTGTGCTTAAATATGAAAATAATGTAATGAATATACGACAATTTAATTGTTCGCCTCACCCATACTGGCTTCCAAACTTTATGGATGTATTCACATGGTCTCTACCATTCGTTGGCGAGAAAGTAACAGAAATGCTAGTCAATGTACTGAATATCTGCTCTGATGATGAATTGATGACAGAAGAAAGTGAAGAACCCTGTTCAGATGATGAGGCTGCGCTACGTAAAGAAGTTATTAGAAATAAAATACGTGCGATTGGTAAAATGGCACGTGTATTCTCTGTGTTACGTGAAGAGTCAGAATCAGTGCTGCAGCTTAAAGGTCTAACGCCAACTGGTGCCCTACCATTAGGTGCACTTTCGGGTGGAAAACAATCATTGAAGAATGCCATGCAAGGCTTTTCACCAAATCATAAAATCACTTCATTTGCCGAAGCGAAGGGTCTTGATGCTGTTAACGAACGTATGCCACCACGTCGTGATCAACCGCCAACTCCTAGTGAAGAGCAACCAAATAATCAAGGTAACAATGCGGCGCATAATGGGTAATAAGTAAGTAGAAAGATTTTAGTTTTTGAAAAAAGTTAGAAACAATGAAAAAAAAAAATAAATAAAAAATAAAAATGTTATAAAAAAATTACTCAAATTAGCAGAAAATATGTAAAGAACTAAAAAAAACGAACAAGTTTTTGGGTTGTTGTAAAATGAATTAAAAGTTCTTTATTCTTTTGCATTTAATAAATATTAAATTAACATATAAGCCAATTTCAGTTATTAACAATGATACGTGAAATGTATGGCATTAAAATAGTTATAGTAAGAGTAAGAGTTCATAATTATTAATAAAAAATTGATATTGTTAGCTCGTTTATTTTATTTTATTTCTTTTTTTAAATCAATTTTGCTGTTTAAATAAAAACCATGTATTTTTACGACATTCCGTCTTTCCTTTTAAGAAGCGTTTTCACATTTCATGAATTTAAATTTACAAATGATTTAATTTTTAACTGAAACATAAATGCATATCCAAAATTAATAGTTTAAAGTATTAAATAATAAACAAACAAATAAAAAAACTTAGTAATGAATATGAATTGCTGATTTTAATTTAAAATTTCAAATTTATTTTATTAAAGTTTTTGTTTTTGTTTTTTTTTTTTGCTGTTGTCATAAGCGAGCATAATATAATTGTGTATTTTAAACTAATTATAGTTATATAAATAAACCATAAAATGAATGTATTTTGAAATTGTTAAACAATAGCATAAATGTTCCTTGTTATGTTTTAAAAATAAATATATATATATATATGTATATAATATATATATATTTTTGATTTTTTTAAATTACTTTAAAGTTTAAACTAATTACTTCATGGATCAAAGACCAACTCTTTATATACATATATGAAAATTCTGTTGCATTTTATTATATATGTGTGTTCAAAACTAAATTAAATTTATTACATTCTATTAGTAAATTGTATTAAAATTAAATTTTTGAAATATTTATATATATATATTTATACATATGTATTTAATATATATTATATTTATTAAAGGAAAAGAAATTTTAAACCAAGCAATTCTTTAAAAAATACACAGTTTTTTATATATTATTTTAATATATTAGGATAAATTAATAAGAGTATAACATAATATATATATATGTTTAACATTAATTAAACATGGAAAAAAGATAATGTAACTTACAAAGCTGTTCACAAAAATGATTTGAATTAATCAGTTTACTCCACTTTTCATGGTTGTTTAATTAATTTTAATAATTGAAATATTTCAAAATAATTTACTGAGTTATTTTTTTAAAAAATTAAAAGTTTGTAACTAAATAAATTATATAGCAACAATATGTCATTTAAAAAAATAATTTACACCCTGTATCGGTTAAGAATTTTTTAATTGATTTAAACTGATAAAACTGATAAATAGGTACAAAAAAGTTAATGCCATTTCATTAAATAAATTAATGATAAGAGAAGTTCCAAATTTTACAATACCAATTTAATTAAATGCATGCACACCGTTATATATATATATATATAAATACAGTATACATAAATACAGTGATAGCTCTCTCAATAGTACACCAACGGCACCAGAAATTCTATAAATTTTAGAGAAGTTTTCATCTAATAAAATGTAATTTTCAACAAAAAATAAAAACTGGGGCTTAGCAAATTGAAAGTGTAAGAGAAATGCTGCCCATTGTTTTAAATTTTTAAATAATATTTGAAAAATTTTTAATTAGCCGTCATTTTATCTTTCAGAGTAGCACAGAAAACATGTGAAGCAACACTACTCTTAAAATCTTCAGATTTTTAAGAGTTTTAAATAATATTTCTCAAATTTTTAATTAGCCGTCATTGTTTCTTTCAGAGTAGCAAAAAGAAAAAAGAAATACTTGCAACTTATACTCTTAAAATCTTCAGAGTTAGGTTTTCCACGCAAAAAATTTTAAGTCTTAAGTTTCAGTGCAACCTAATTTAAAAATCAGTCTATTGTGAATGTTTACTGGAAATATGTTGCAAAATTTCAGTCATCCGTTTGTGTACTTTTATTCAAATTAATTAATTTTTAGTGTTTATAATTTTTATATTTCATATTGTACACAAGACAACAAAAAACATATGTCAAAAAAAAAGCATTTGACATATGTATTTTAAAAGTGTTCCCAATTTATTCAACCAGACTTAATGCTGTTTATTTACTACTCTGAAAGAAAAAATTACGGTTATTGTTAGAGTGCAAAATTTATATATTTAATGTACCATTTTTGAAAATTAAACATTAATTAATTATTTTTTTTTTTTTAATTTAACAAAATAATTGAACATGCTTGTGTTAACAGTTCTGTTTGTTACAAAAATAAAAATTTATCAGAAATATATAATTAAAATAAATTACAATTAAAACGAAAAGCATTAAAATTCCATTAAATTTATTGAATAAAAATTTTTATCCATAATCTCAGCTTAATTTAATCAATATATAAAAACAAAATAAAAAAAAAATAAACGCTGAAGGAATCAAAGTTTACAAAATATAATATTTATAATCAAAATTCAATAAAATAATTTATATATATAAATTAAGTGTTAAGAAATTTCCTCATCACACTGCAAACCACACTTCTTTATAGTTTTAAAAGTTACATAAAATAAAATAAACAAACTATAACTAATGTGTATGTAAGTAAACCTAGGAATATGTTAAGCTAAGGCTAGTTAAGGTGTAGGACTGGTAGTTGTGAAAACTAATTCAGTAATATCAGTAATTGACAAACGGTTCTTAATACCACGTTTGCACCGTTTGTAGAGTTAAGCTGTAGGCATTGACTTTGTAGTGGATGTAAAAATTGCTCCTGGCTAGGGTGAGGTAACCAATTAAAGTTACTTCTTGCCTGTTGCTTCTGACAAATGACACACTTTTATAGGATGTCGAACCTCTCCTTTTATTCTTTACATTGGCGAAAAAAATGAAAAATGAAAAAGTAAATATATTAAATTGAAAGAATAGAAGCGAATGTATTAAATTAGTTAAGAATATATATGAGAAACAAGCAAGCAATTTGAATTATAATTAAAATTTAAGTTAAAACATTTGCGGCAAAGTAGCAATTTCTAAAAAAATGTAAATCAAGACAAAAGTTTAGTCAAAATGTTAAAAATTTTCAAACTTTTTTATTGCCTTTAATTTCTATTAAATAAAGGTTGACCCGACCTTTAAGAAATGGAAATAGCATATATAAAATTATTTATACAAATGCTGTAACTAATAAAAATCAAATAAAAGTAATTGCGAAAAAAAAAAAATTATATAAAATATATTAAACGAATATTTTAGTCATGCACAATGAGCAATTTTTTTTTATTTTTTACATAAATATTGATATATATTTTATATTAAATATATGCATATTATTTAAATATTGGAGCAGTACTTTGCTAACATATTATGAAAAGTATCTGAAAAATTGTTAATACTTATTAATTTAAAATCACAATAGATTAGTTTAACAACTTTTCAGAACTTTGAGCACATTTTAGGCTTATATAATAATTATTATACTTTTTTTTGTGTAACTTAAATTATATCCTTTTAAATGTAAAAATTAAATTTATATTTTTAATAGTTAAATTGCACAGACGACAAGTACTTATGTAGTAGGTTGATTTTATGTATAAATATACATACTATATACATAAAATAAAACCGCATATATCTATATATATAAATATATATATACTAATAGGTATACAAAAAGGCATATTCAATAGATTTTGTTAAATCGATTAAAGGCATTGATGAAATAAAATTCTCGAAAATTAATATGTTTTGATTTGAAATCAATTATTTGATAATTATTAAAAAAAAATTTTCAGTCATGTTGAAGAAAAAAATTTTAAATCAAACTAGTTATTTAAGTAAGCAATTTATATAAGAAAGAAACAACCAAAATGAGAAAAAGTCAGTAACTTAAGATTTTATAAATTTTTGATGATGAAAATTTTAATATTTAATAGTTAATTAGATTATTATAAAAAATGTTTGAATTGTATTTTTACTTCAAAATAATCAACAGAGCTCAGTTGGTCCGTGTGAATTTTGGTATTGTTTTAAACCCAGAATAAAGAAAATGAAGATTTAGCCACACATGTACTGTTAGAATGCACATACGGAACGTATATCCTTCTTGGAAATGTATTTCCTTACGGAAGAGGCAATTAAACTCTGTAAAGTAGAGTCCATACTACTCTCTAACGAATCAACTGGACTGGGAAATATATTCTAAGTGCAGAAAGGGGCACAATAGATCCGACGGTCGAAGTATTATATCCCACATCAATAATAATAATAATAGACATAATAATGATCAGGTCAATCATAACCAAGTTAATCATAACCGGGTTAATCACTGGCTTTTAAACTAGAAATTCCCTTATTCAATAGAGCGGTGATGCGATCTACCTATTTCTTACGCATTAATATGTCAATTCCGTATATGTGACTAAACCCTTCATGATGTTGCCCATTTCTTTTATGTACTAATACGTACACCAATTTGAGCCCAATTGATATTTGGCTGCGTCGCATTGAAGTTGTCAGGTTTCTCTATGTTAACCCAGAATAGTTTCAATTAAAAACATAGCACAATAAAGGTGTGCTATTGTTCCTTCTAATAATTTGAATATAGTATTATAGTTTACTTTTGTACCGTTGCCTTTTCTAATAACAGTAATAGAGTAATACTAATATTTTCAATTGTTTTTTTTTTTAAATTTTTCTAGCAGAATATGAAAACTACGAGGTATGTTTATTCTTCCAATTACCGAATTCCAATTGATTTCACATATGTTGTGTTATTTTCTTGTTTTTGGCAATGAAGTATTATAATAAATACAATATAATTCTCATTATCTTTATCCAAAAGAACAAGGCCTTCAATTCTCCGACACAATCCAACACCTCCCTAAATGTTTGTCCACTATAACTGTAGGTCTAAATTTGCTCTTAGTGTCAACATTTAACTCTACAGTAAGCGTTAGTCAGTTAGTAAAAACAAAAAAAATTAAAAAAAGTTCCTTACATTTAAATGATTAACGAACAAAGATTTAAGATTGAGC